AAAAAAAAGAAATTTACAAACGCGCGAATTTGGCGACAAGATCAATGGCAGCGAAACCGACTAGTTTCAAAGTACGATAGAGATGGAAAGAGGAGTAACCATAGCTCTCAAAAATCCTTCAACAAAGATATACCTATTAGATGATAAACTACGAGGGAAATAAATTTGCACCGCCAAAATGAAATCACAAAGTGCTTGTGATCAATGCGCAAAACACGTATCTTTTAGGAAGAACTCGTCTCAATCATCCTTTTCCACCTGAGGAATGGCTTCTTCATCATCGCTACTGCTCACTTTCTCACCAAATAGAGTCTGCTCGGAAACCGAAGCAGAATCCTAAACCATCAATTTATAGTTACTGCAGAATAACACCATTGTAATCCAGAAAACGTTGACAAAGACTACAAAGATAGAAACGAGAAAAACGTGCTTGAGTTGTGGAAGAGATGCATGCTTGTGCGTTCATCGGCAAGTTGAAAACCTTTCGTTTCTCGTCAGCAGCAACAATTTCCCAACGAAATGAATCCGCTTCCAGATCGGCTCGAAGTAATCGTTTGAGCTCTCTTTCGACCTGGTAAGTTGTAAATTTCATAGAAATCAAAAAAAGAGAGACTGCTACACACTGTGCCAGTTAATAATCATCACGATAGTAAGCTCACTTCCGGCGCTTCCATATACTTCTTCTTCTTCGTTTTTCGGAAACGCCGTTGCCGAACGCTCTTCATTGGTGGGGTAAGGCCGTGAGGATATTGCCATTGCTTCATTTCCTAAGATTAAGGGTAATCATCAGAGTAACACTGATTATGAAATTTATGCGTCACGTAAATCCTGCTGAGATTAGTGGGAAAGTATGAGCATTTTGGAACCCTTGCCGCATAGAAAGAGAGCATGGGTAAGACAACAGCTTATATGCTGACTTCAAATCTGTTACCTGCTTCATTCAATATGGTTTTGATGATTGACAGAATATGTCGAACAATATTTTTATCACTTTGAGTTCAATGTCTAAGAATTCCCAGTTAGGTTTTATGCAGGATGGCACTTCTTTACAGCCTACATTCCATTGAGAATTTAACGAAATAGTGACACATGCGTTGCAAAATTACCAAAGGTTGAAAAAGGATGATAAAGAAATATTAGGTTGTCCCAAAAGTAAACTCCATTTTTT